ATTGTATGTAAATTATATTCATATATATATTTGAATATTGTATGAAAGTTGAAAAATAGTTGTATTATGTATGAATCGTTGTATAAAATTTGTATTTAAGTTATCAATACTATCTTTTTACATAAAGTTGTAGATATGTATCAACATTTGTCCAAAGATTTTACGAGATTAATAACTATCGTGCAGGGCTAGTAAAGTATTCTGCTTCACTTGATTGGTTAACTTACCTAATACACTAATCTATCACAAATTAACGAAACCTATTTAAATCATCACTAAAATGGATACATCGTACTTACAATTAATATTATACAATTTGATGGTACAATAACATACAAATTTAAAAATAAAATTCGTACAGATTTAATACAAATTGATATATCTAAAACAACATACATACTAAAAATAAATTTTATACAACTAATTATATAGTATACACTTATTTACAACTTATCTACAACTTTCATACATTATTTTTACCTAGTTAAAATGCATCTACAACATCATACAACTTAAATACAATTTTCATACAAATTTTATACAATATGTCTTTTTGTATATTTTGTATCTAATTTGTATATATTTTGTATGTGGTGTGTGTTTCTTCCTCTCTAAAATTCCAATCAAAACTTTCTCTCTTAATACAATTTTGATACATATCAATAACTTTATGTAAAAAGATTGTATTGATAACTTAAATACAAATTTTATACAACGATTCATATATTATACAACTATTTTTCAACTTTCATATAACATTCAAATAAAAAAATATATATAACTACAATAGAATAAAATTTACATACACTTATACTATAACTTTACTATAATTTCGTAAGTATATTGTATGTCATGTGTTCTTCTTCTTCTTCTTCGAGTTTCAATATGAAATTCAGCCAAAATCAAGTATAATCTTAACCAAACATCCTCAAAATTGAGATATAAACTCCAAGCAATATTCTCAATTGTTTGGAACATCACCTAATCCAAACAAATAATGGTTTTTGAAAATTCAAATTCGAATTCAAAGCTTCAAAGCTTTTTAATGGCTGTTAATAATGGTGGAGAGTCAAACACCTTCAAAATTTATTGATTGACAATTTCAATTTGAACACCAATTATTCAACATGAAAGAAAATTGCTAAGTTAAAACTCTATAGTAAAACGATTGAAATCCATTGATGAATTCTATTAAAAATATATACAACATGAAAGGATAAAAAATAGAGGACAACAAAGGAAGAAAAATTGGAGAAAGAACAAAGAATAAGAGATTGAGAGAGAGAGAGAGAGAGAGAGAGAGAGAGAGAGAGAGCGCAAGAGGGAGAGAGGAGAAGGATGATAAATAATTGATTCCTTATTCAATTTCTAATATAAATGGATACTCATTTTATTCATAAAGTGTATATAATTAATAAATTGTATATGCCTATGTAATTAGAAACTTGAGTAGGGAGGGTAATAGAGTTTCAAATAGTGTATAGGAAGGTAAAAATCCCATTAGTCAATATTCAAGAAAAATCTCAAAATCTTAACAGAGTAAGTAATTAACAAAATTGGTAGCTAATTAACTACATTCCTAACATAAACACAATCAATTATCAATGGACCTCTCAATCCTTCCCATGTTCCGTTGCTTATTTTTAGTGGAAGTCTTAAAAATGCCAAAAGGTAATTAATGTGGTAAGTTACTGCATTTAGTTGATTTATAGGGAACAAGACTGCACAACCATTAGACCACATTATTGTTCATTTTCTATTGCCTTTTTTCTTTTCCCTTTTTGGTTTTCCCGTTATCTTTCTTTTTTTTAAATGAAAAAGAACATAGATTTTTAAATATGGGAACGTGATGGGAGGTTTTCTTTACATGTTTATTTTTATTGTTATATTTGATTCCTTTTATACTCCTAAAAATAATAAGTATAGTTTATCTAGTATATCATTGTTGTATAAATAACATATATAATATTTGAAGTATATTATAGTTGTATAAATATTATTATATAGTATACTACTTGTATATTACTATTATATTAAATACAACGTATATATAACTAATATATAATATAATTATGTTATTTTATTAGATACGAGGTATATATTATAACTAATATATAATATAATTTTGTGGATATGTGCAGTGATATATGATGTTTTTTGGGCATATAATTAATTTTATGATTTAGTATGCCATATATTTATCGTATAAATATTACATATACAGAATATTATATATATATATATATATATAATATGCATTGGTATACTACTATTGTAATACATTGCATATAAATGATTTATATATATTATACTCCTAAAAATAATAAGTATAGTTTATCTAGTATATAATAGTTGTATCAATAATATATATAATATTTGAAATATATTATAGTTGTATAAATATTATTATATAGTATACTACTTGTATATTACTATTATATTACACACGACGTATATATAACTAATATATAATATAATTATGTGGATATGCATAGTGATATATGACTTTTTTGAGCATATAATTAATTTTATGATTTAGTATGCTATATATTTATCGTATAAATATTACATATATAGAATATATTATTGTTTCATAAATATTATATATGTAACATGCACTGGTATATATATATATATATATATNTCCCTTTCCCTTCATCTTCATTTACGATGCAATTGCGAAAATTACTAATACTAGTTCTCACGACCACCAATATTTCCTTCAATCAAACTGAAGGAGTATTGGTTTTTGGGTTTGGTATGTTTCACAAGTCGGAAGTAATTTTGGTTTCAACAGAGCGGAAAAATTTGTGCGGATTAGTGTTTGGGTTCGCAAACGAATTGATTTTCAGAGACTCGAGAGATTTTGAGAGAACCTAGTTCAAAGATACTGGCAAAAGAGGCGATAAATTTCAAGGGGAAATGGATAGTTTCAATATATTATATATAATTAGAATATATTTAAAATACATTTTGAGTGAAAATGAAGAAAATAAGAGGAGATAGACAGTGAAATTTAGGATAAAACATAAAGAGGAGAGAGAGTGTAATAGATTCCATGATTTGTGACTCCTTAATTGTGTGCATAATTTGTACAATATATTAATCTTTGGAATTTATGCAGTGAGAGTAAGGCTGCGTACAATAGACCCTTGTGGTTAGGTTTTTTTTCGGACCCCGCGCATAGCGGGAGCTTAGTGCACTGGGTTGCCATTTATTAGTAATGTAAAAAAATCTTTGGAATAAACAACAAATGATATTATTTTCTTAAATACTTTTTAAAAAAATGCTTAGCTGTGTAGTTTTCTCCAGGAAATTACACCTAATGACCTTAAAAATGAACGGTCTTGACTTTTTGACCCCCGCTTGCCCCATTCGCAAAATTGTAAGGTCAAAAGTGTTGCTCATCGGGCAAACGAGGGGCAACACTTGTTAAACTTAAAGTTCTGCCCATGGGACAAGTGGGGTTAAAAAATCAAGGGAGTACTAACTAACAGGTGAGTCCTCCCCGAACCGCCCCTTCGTCGAACCTTTCCTTTAATGGTTGGGGAAAGCATTCCCTTATCTGAACTTGGTGGGCATTCTTTCCGGGCTTAGTAAAATAGGGGGTGGGTTTGACTTGAACGCCCTCGGTCGGGATGGTCCTGTCGAAGAACTTGTTTTTTCTTTAGATAAAGCGGAAGCTCGTTCCTGGCCTCTTTGGCAGTAGCTAATCTGAATTCGCAACCCGCCATCTTTGGGCAGGAGTCGTTAGATCTTGCCCAGGCAATGGAGCGATCGACACTCGCTCGCAAGTTTTAAGAAGTGGTAAGCGCAAGGACAATTTGATTCAGAAAGGGGAGGAGGAGTAGCCTAGCCTGGTTCTTGTTTGTTTTCCTTAGCGGTATAGTACGACACATGGGAAATCACAATCAGAGAGAAGTAACGATACGATAGATCCGCAGGAAATAGCGAAGTACATGAATTCTCTATCTCTTTCCTTAGCTGAGAGAGAGGGAGCGAACTCTCGACATGCAGGCATATCTCGTTGAATCAGTCTTTTTCGCCACATTCCGTATAACGGGAATCGAACCCCCTCCGCTGCTGGCGGACAGATGTATAATGTACTACTTTGATCCAGCAACTTGTTAGGAGTAGATTTTGGCTTGGGAAAAACCTGTGGATGAGCGAGAATATACGAATATTTTTGTTAGATGGTTTCCCCTTACAGTCTTTTTTGTTAAAATGAATGCGGATGGGTGTCTGCTTTCTTTGAGAATTTGGATTGTACAACCAAGAATGTGGCTGAATTCGCTATCGCTTGTAATGGTCGACAGTATTCCCGCCATACCATAATTCCAATTATTTAGGGCTAGAAGCTTCGCTAGAAGCAAGCAAGATGAGAAAATTTTGTGCAAATCACCGTGAGCTAATAGCCATTTGGACATTAGACTATTGAAATGGGCTCATCTTTTGAGCCCAACCGAATGTAGCCCAAAATCCCAAGTTGAACTTTAATTTAAATCCATATTAGACTTAAATAATTTATCAAAATTTAATAGGATTTTAATGCCATTAAGAAACCCAAACCGATCAGGTTCATTAGAGCTATAGCTCTAGGGATGTTACTTGTTTGTAATTAGGAGTTTAGCTCCCAAAGTTGGCAAAAATAAGGTTGAGTATTCGAGATCTTTTGCCAGTCGCTGATAGACCAAACATATAGCTTTACATGATACATCTGCCCAAGTTGAACAACCAGCCAGCTGTGTAAATTTTTCTGAATCCAAACAAGTTGTTATAGCTTTCAACTGTTCAGATACTGTTTCCCTGTGAATGTTCCATAACTTCTTAGTCTGCATCCTAAATCACAAGTTCCTGACAAATCTAATGGCAACCAAAACTTGATCTCCTTCCACATAATATTTTAGAAAATGCCATTAATTCCTGAGAGAGATTCACCACTCAGAGTAATGCAGGTAGAAATCCAAGACATTAACCAATACAATCTTAGCAGAAAACCATAAGTAGAGAATATCTAATTTCTGTTTTCCACTGAAAATATTACGTGAATACAATGTCAGAAAGCATTCGATTAAGAATTCTATGTAGGCCAAGTGGAACAGAGAATGCCTATCATGATAGCTATATGTGAAAGAGAGAGAAAAAAAAACTAAAAGTATACCAGCGTGATTTACACTTTGTCATCACACAACAATTGAAAGTAAATTTACAAGTCTATAAGCAGAGACCATTAGTAAAAATCCCCACGACTACAACTCCAAGTGACATGGCCATCCGAGAAGCTTAATCATCACTAGAAGTATGGCGAAGTTGGAAAAATAAGCTAGTTACAAGGCCTACATCCTCCTTCAGAATCTTTTATCTGCAGAGTTAAGTAGCATTATTGACATACATCATTCTTAATGCTGGAGAAAATGAGCAAGTATGTCATAAAACAGAAAAGGAGAAGGTGTTCAGAGTTTGCTTAGTTTATATGTTTGTAAGTGAAGAAAGGTAGGCAGACCTTACCAGGTCCATTATTCATGCGCTCTCAAATCGAACAACTACACAGGTGATGTTGTCAGAACTACCCCTTGAATAAGCTTCTTCTATAAGCTTACGTGATGCTGCTTCAGCATCTTTTATGTCCTGCACGATGGCCACAGCATCCTGTATGTAATGAAGAGAAGTTAGACCCTTGAAAATTCATTACTAGTTGATGCAACTAGAAGAGAGAAGATTAATATGCATGAATATTTTGGACCACTCAGCAAATATCAACATATTAGATACACAACAGCAAAGTTTGCATGTTGAATCACTGCAAAGCTACTGTCATATGCTAACAATCATGAAAATAGAATTACAGAAGAAGCTACTAATTCTAAAGAGAACTTTCCTGGTTTGTTACTTTCTTCTACCTGTATAAACAAGGAATGTGTAAAAGTATTACACAAGGCTCTAGGAATCATCCCTAACCAAACTTGAGCTTGCCTAAGCAAAATAGCTTCCCTTGAATCACCTGTGGATCGAGCTCTAAGCTTAAGAACCAGTTCCATTTTTCCGGAGTATAATAATCTCCATTTTCAAACTCCCTGAATATTGAATATATTAAGAAGTCTTTCCCCCTCAATTTCAAGACCAGGACCAAAATTTTGAGCTTAAGTTTGAATTATAAAATACAGTTCCTGACCACTAATGAGCTTAGCAAAGGTTTTAATAGTAACAGTTTTTTGATATCCCTCCTTTGAAGGACAAGCTCCAGATTCGTCCAAATAAAGACAGAAGAAATAAAAGAAACCCCTCGCAAGATGTATTCAAATTCAATCCTTAAAACCAAGCTCTGAGGTCTCAAGTATACATTTAGCATTATCATCTTACTAAGAGTATGTAAGTTGAGGAAAACTGGTTAGTGTTGAAACACCACGAAAGGTGTATAACACGTTTATAGCAAATGAAACCTGACCTTGTTAGACAGGACATTCCAAAGTCCATCACTTGCAATTATTATAAAATCTACACCATCAATTTCTTCTTCCTGAAAAAGGAGATCAAATATCAATGCACTGAACATCAATACAAATCATCAACTTCGGAAGCTAATTATACGAGAGAGAGAGAGAGAGAGAGAGAGAGAGAGAGAGAGAGAGAGAGAGAGAGAGAGAGNAATATCAATGCACTGAACATCAATACAAATCATCAACTTCGGAAGCTAATTATACGAGAGAGAGAGAGAGAGAGAGAGAGAGAGAGAGAGAGAGAGAGAGAGAGAGAGATGTAAGTAGCAATATTTTGGTTCAGTAAAACAACTGGGTTTCAATATCAGAACAAAACAAGCAAATCAACAACAACAACAACCAACCCAGTTAATTCCCACAAGTGGGGTCTGGGGAGGGTAATCAAAGGGTCAAGATGTGCTAAGAAAAACACAGCATTAATTCAGGGAAACCAAAAATACTTCAGCTGCTAAATACTACAAAATAAAAGATATAGCTTAATGTCAGTTTCCCCCTGTATGCTTATGTTATAAGTGCAATGTGCCAGCTCAAACTTTTTCTACTGAGATACAGTCTACCAACACTCCTTGCATAGGAACTGCCAAACCTCTATGCAAACGTATCTTTCTTCCATCTATAAGCGTGGGGAAAAATAGCAATGTTTTCTCATGAAATGATTGTAAATTCTGATGGTTATGGTCTCATTAAAACAGTGTGGTGGAATAGGAGAAAAAGGAAGGGCTTGGTATTTCTAGTTTCCTTGCCTTCTTCCCTATTCTAAATTTCATCACAGTTCAGGTCAATATGCTCAATTACTGCTCAATTTTCATACAACAGCTACAATGGAGGGCAATTAATGCATTCCTCCAAAACTTAAAGGCTGGTCTGAGAAACAAATTTGTAGAGGGAAGAAATACGTTCTGACAAAATATTTTAACACGAGCAGCTTGGTCTCGAGTTCTCACTTCACCCTACCATTCCAAGTGTAATTTTAACCAACCCTTTATTATGCAATAGTTAAGTTTAAACATGTTGCATGCAACCTTCATATCAGATTCATAAAAAGGTTTTGGTGAGAGGGCTCATCTAATCGAGTCAATACCCTAGGTCGGACATGTCACACCATGCGGCATTATGGTGAGACGGCTCCTCCAGTCGAGCTGATACCTAGACTGGATAGTTTGAGTTAGTGAGCTTATGCACTCCCTAGGGTTACGATATGAAATGAAAATATTTAAGTTTAAAGTTTCTTACAGGTTGTCAAGTTTTCAAATGCTTTATAATGTTGTGATTATGCATTCACGTTTTCCGTAAGTATCGCTCACCCTTCTGTGAGGGAGACAGTGATACTCATGCAGTACTTTATTATTATACTCACGTCCCTCTGCGGGGGCGTTCACTCATGTTGTGATTGTAAGTGTTGATACTCCGGGCGACTCTACCACCTTCTAGGCTTCTCCTTCACACTCCCAATTTTTGGTGAGCCCACTTTATGCCGTGGGGATTGGTTATTGACTTTTTTTATTTTATTTTATTTTTGGGTATAGCCGAGGCCTTGTCACCGGTATTCTTTTAGCCAAGGAAAAACAACCACCATCTTGGTTTTGACACTCAAGCGATCCGCCCAACTAAAGAAGATCGATTCAAAGGTTAGATTTCACCACCTCTATCTATCCAACTAGTTCTAGCTTGGTGCTAAAAAATGATCGAAGTAGTTGAATAGGAGGATCACTATGACTATAGCCCTTGGTAAGTTTATCAAAGACGAATATGATTTATTTGAAATTATGTATGACTGGTTACGGAGGTACATAGGCTCCATAGACGTTGTAGGTCTAGTTTATGTCCTTTTGTCATTCTACTGAACTCTCATATTCATGTATCAATAACTATTTAATGTCTTAGGATATTTATGAACTTATGCAAATGTTTATGAAGAGTTTCATGTTTCCTACTCATGCATGATCATGTTTAGAAAGTTGGTTTGCTCGATGGTAAGTTTAAGACATCAAGTGCCAATCCGTCTGTCCAGCTTTTGGGCATGACATAGGAAGTGGTGTTGGTAGGGTAGATGTAGGTTACCATTTGAACCAAAAAAGTTCCATTTAAAGAAGCTAACAACACGATAACTTCCCTTATAATCTCAAACTGCACCATGCTCTTGAGCCTTGACAGATCAAGCAAATAGAGCAGGAAATGAAGACAAACTATTGCTTCAAGAACAAAAGCCAAAATACCTGAATCTCTGGGTCTGCCACAACATATGGCTTTAGCAGTTTATCTCCAAATGCACGAGAAACAGCCAGTACCCCACCTACACGCCATGTACCTGAAGAACAGAGCAGCAGGACACTGCATTGAATTCAACTAAGAGGAAAAAGAGGATGTAACATATTTACATGCGGTAATAAATTTCACTAGGAAGCACCTAAGGCATGCAAGCACGGATATGTAGTATTGCTCATATAAGGCACTGCCAGGAAAAGAAACCACATGAAGCAGTTGCATAATAAAGAAACCACATGAACCAAATTTTAAGAGCACAAGTTTCAAAGTCTTCCTTTCTTTCTTAAACTCCGTGACCATTTAAAATTTGCCACATATTAAATGGAGGGAGTAATATTTAACTAAACAGTTACATAATAAATTCTCCTAGCCCAGCTACAGACAATGATTGAATAGCAATTTTTTGTGAAGCTCAAACTTCACAAATAATGAAGTTTGCAAGGGCTAGACAATGTGGTTTTGGAAGATTCTGTATGGAAATGTACAGAACCCGATAGAAAAAAAGAGAGAATTTGATTACATATAAAAAAGAACGTGGAATAATACAATTCTTCGTGACTTCAGTCTCCGGTACATTTACTGGTCCAATCAAGCACCAAGAAACACATAAAAAGAGACTGCAACAAACTTTTACCTGCCCAGATGATGAAACCGCCAGCCTGTTCTATCCTTTCACGCTCATCAGATCTGTCAGGCTTGTGATCGATGGATAAAGGAATAGCTGCATTTATTGCAACAGTTATGCTTCACAACCAAATAACAAAAAATGAATAATCATTCAACATGATGGAATCACTTCCGGAACTCACTTTCGAAATCTGAGGGAAAAAATAATTAAGTTCAGATATGTTGGAATTACAGAAGAATATATACAGCCGCCATCTAGTTCATCAAGATGCTGTGATATACTAGGGAATAAAGCTCAAGAGTCAAGCCCAATGAGAATGATTGTTTTCTTCCACCCATACCATCATTAAACTAGTTTGCACGCACATACATTGCACACCATAAAAACAGTGAATGAAGAATATTTTTTCTTATAAATTTATAATTTTGTAAGACGGTAAATACATAAGTATATGGGTATAGCGGAATACAAAACTGCTGAAAGTTATTCCATTGATCCTAAGATATATAGCATCATTCGACAAGTGAATGTAAAATATTTCTGGTTGATTTTTAAATGTACACTTGGCAAACCAAATTCTTGAAAAATTAAAAACAGTTGTTTGCCTTCTCAAATAATAAGTACTCCATATATATAAGCTGGGTTAGGAGTGTTTTACTTTTAATTTCTCATTCCAATGAATTTGTCATGTTATTTCACTTCCTTTAGTGTTTCAATTCAAAAACTAACAATTGAAGTAACTGAATCTCTTACACTCGATAAGGAAAAAATAGATACCTAATAATTCTCTATGTGGCGGTTTTTTTAGAACTGATATTTAAATATATAAAACCAAATATATTGTGTAGTTATTATTTTGTAAATTTCCATCAATGAGGAGTATTTTTCTTTATTTATCCACTATATTAGGTCAACAATTTTAGTTTAACTTCCTCATCTTTCCTTTTTGTTTCTCTCCGGCACGATTTACCTCGTGATGGTAAGTTAATTCTATAATTTTTTAAGGAATTACACATGTAATCTTTTTGTTTCACTCGTTCTCTGCTGATAGTAATACCACTAAAAAATCTTAATGAACACCTAAATTGCATAATGATTTCTTCTTAATTTTGCAAATCTAACTTCAAACAGAAATATTCCTCCATTTCAAAATAACCACATTTCATTTTTAGTCGGTACATAAAAAATTATAAGTACATTTCCTTTTCAATCCATACAGCGAAAAATAGGAACTTCACTCAAGTGTCCCAAAAATTTTCACCTTCAATTAAAGGAGATCAAATTAGGTGAACCTTGACGAACAGTTAAAATGTACTCTTTCACATTTTTCGTACAAAGAGTTCTGCAATTTGTAGTACTTAACTACTTTTCATGTAGGTTCCAAATATCTTGAGAAGTTAATCTTAGTCCAAGTTAATCCGAAAATTGATTTAACAACTTACTATACAAATAATACTAACTCAAATATAATTAAGTAAAGCATATGTTCTCAAAGTTTAACTAAATAATAAGCAACTTTAACGGTGTGATGATCTTTTCCTTGTTAAAACTTTATTGAAAGATTTCAACAGACCACCTATTTCAGTTTTTAGTCACCTTAAGTCAAATAATTTATTAGTGGTTTATAAAGTAGATTTAGGAACTTAAATCTTATAATTTACCTTATCCAAAAAAGTAAACTTCAATTCATAATATTGGTACTAAAAGAAAGTTAAATTAGTTTAGCTTTTTCTTTTTTTGGCACATCTGCATGGAATATAATTGCCTAGCAATTATTTGAATATTATTCCATAAAAAACAAATCTAAACTAATTTGTCAGATTGAGGTTTTATTTAGATTAAACATTATTAAGATTATACAATTTTTATTTCTGATGGTGTTTGGTGTGAAAGATTTATCTTATCCGAAAAATGTTTGATTTCACAGCAATGCAATATGACGTAGTAGTTTACGATTTATTTTAAGATAAAGAGAAAATCAAAGAGAATTGAATTCAATGTCTTATACTAATTTATTTTGATTATTTGATTTTTATGCTTGGTGGTATTTGATTGTATATATTATATTTTCTACATTTTTAAATATGCTTTTCCTAAGTTATTGTCCCTCTCTTATTATGGTCTATGGAATACCATATATTAGCCATATTAAACTTTTGGAAACGTAATTAATCAATCAACCATTCAAGCAATACCAAATATTTCCTGAATTTGAAAAGAAAAATGGATGCTCAGTTCCGCTCCAAAATTTTGGAAAGTATAATATGGGGTTGGAAAAACCAAAACACTAAACTCGCAAATCATTGAGACTTTATAGATAGTATAGATAAGAAACATCCAATTATACCTAGTCTTCTTGTTATCAAAATGAGTAAAGAACTTTTATTTGTAACCCATATACAAAAAAGTATAAAAATAACCATGCCAGTTAAGTTTCCTACCTACAAACTGCAGAAATCATTTATACATATCATGAGAACTTCAAACACATAGGAATAAAAAATAATCCTTTTTTAGGTAAAGAATTTATCCTTGTTCATTTTTTCTTCTTGATAGCCGAGAAATCCCGAGGGATGGTGGCACACGGTTTGAAACTCGGTGGATAATAGGTCTGCACCTCTAACCTTCTCCACTTAAATACCGGACTTTTGTCTACAACAGAATTCGAACCATGACGTGCACCTAACCCACATATCATGTGTTGCGCTCGTAACACTAGACCAAAGCCCTAAGACAGAATTTATCCTTATTTTCACTATCAACAATTCAGACCTTTGACTAACATTTGCATTTTCTCTGGCCTTCTTTTTGTTGGTCCTTTTTTCTGCTAATAAGATTATTTGTTACAGCCTCTATGTCAACTTGCAAGACACACCAATTAGGAAAGATGGCCAAAGAAGAAAATCAAAGACTACAACATAAAGAAACGTGGCAGATTACTTAATTATCTTATTTCCCTAGAAAACAGGACAAGCTTTTCACAAATTAGAATTTTTAAAGCTCTTGTGCTCACCTAGAGCAAAAAGATTGCTTGGAAAATCTGAAATGTACCCAGTTATTCTTATTTTGTTTGCTCGGGTTTATATACTTTCTTTAAATGGGTAACACCCACCTTTTTTATCAAATAAAGTAAACTCTCATTGATATGAGAATGAAGAAAGAGCTGAAAGTTGCAAAATGTAGTTCCAGAATCACAATTATATACAGCCCAAAAGAATACTTCTCATAAATCTACTGAAACACTTCCTCCCCTGTGAGTTCTACCACTTTCATATGTACTTTCCTTGATAAAGCATTTATCTATAACAAAGATAAGCCACAAAAGAAAAATAACCAACCTTGCGATAAACCAAACTATATATATGTCTCTCTGAAAACCAAGCCGTGTTTGTGAAAATTTTGCATATAATTATATAGAGACATGCAACAAACCTGAACCATCTCTACAAGCGACGACTCTAGAGTCTCCCACATTTGCAACAACCAATCTATCACCTATAAGAACAGCAGTTGATGCTGTTGAACCAGCATCTTTTTGCTGGCCTTTTTCTTCATTAAGGTAATCGGCGTCGGTCTGCTTAAATGCTTCAACTGCATTCAAGAGCCTTTCCCATTAAATGATACAGAAGACAGAAGATAGGATGAAATTAGAAATTACGCAGAATATGTCCCCTCTGATTCATACCTATAGCTGACTTCGTATCTTTGATAAAATCAGGATGACCACTCAAATTCTTAAAGAGGTTGTTCTTCAGGTATTCTGCTGTTCTTGAACCACCGTGACCTAATAACAAGCAGAATATAAAGGGATAAGCAATTATACAGGTCACTAAAAGGTTTTTTTCATGCGTTGATTTTCCTATCTACAACAATTAAGATGACATTAAATGAAGAATTACACTCTGAAAGTAGGAAAGGCCTATCCAGAAACGATATGCAAGAAATACTGAGAGATACCGTCAAAAACACCAAAGAATGCCACCATTTGACCTTCGACTTCTGATATCCTTGTCTCATAAAAGTCCTCCATGGAAGCCCGTTTCCCCTTAAAACTAGCATATCCGTAGCTGAATTTAGCACTTTTGTTTCCAGTCAGAAAGCTTCAAGAAAAGAAAAATAAATCAGTTAGTTTCTTATAAAAGGTCACCCCAAACATATCCTTAGAAATGAATAGCACTGCATTAATTGTTGCTGCCCACAACGAAGATACAGCCATATTGAAAATCTAAAAATCTGAACAAAAGAAAATGCATTTATCAGTCTGAATTTGAATGTTAATATCCTCAACCAAAACAGGCAACCAGGCTGAAGTTCAAGACATAACTTGGCCAGTGACCGGCTCTTTAAGCTACAGAACATACCCCACAGTGGAGTATTTTGATTTCATACCATATGGGTAAGTATTAAACAAAGCACTATTAGGAAACTGGATTTGGAGACACATGATGGAAGATCAGGGTGGAGGAAGGTCAGTGATGAGATATGGAGTCCAAGGAAAGGGAGGACCAATTACATCATATTGCTATATGGAATTGCTCATTCAATGAGAATAACGAAAGGATGGAAGGATATTTATAAGAATATCACTTTCCTATAATCAAAATAGGAAATGGACCCATAATCAATTTATGGAATCTGAGATGGCGCATGGATGCCTCTTTCTGTGGAATTTTTCCATGTCGTTCAGTATATCTAGTCAGTGGATGGCAATAGCGGCCAGGCCAGCAAGAACAGCAGGAGAGTATCTTCTTTAATTTTTATTTTTTGGATAAGTACATCAGGAGGGAGTATTATCAAATCAAAATCTCTCAAAATAGACCTAGGTTTGAAGCAGAAATAGAACATATTTGCGGCTTCGTGTATGGCGCGGAGATAATACTTTGATATGTTAATTCCCCAACAAATTCTCGCTTGCCAACAGTATTAGATCGTAGCTAAGGTTTTAAGGATGAATGGAGACCAAACAGAAGAATGGTTCCTATTGACATTATGAAATGATATATAGATTGAAGAGATAAACTTTATGTATGGAAAAAGCTTGTAATTGAAGTAATTCTCTGCCACGTCTTGTTTCCGCTTGTTTAGTTAGGATATCATAATCTCATGAGGAAATCACTTATCAAAGGCGCCTACTTTATATGTTCATATTACACCTTTGGTAAATACTGCCCCCCAACTTTGTAAATCAAAGAATACTTTGGAAAAAGTTGTAGAAAAAACTAACAAAATCCAACTTTACACCATAATTTCGAGTATAAATAGCAACTGCAAACTCTCATTATCCTTTCTCACACTACAAAAAATAATCAAAATAATCATAAACTCGGAATAATTAACGAGCAGTCCATAATGCAGTAGGAAAAAAAGTGGAAAGCCATTATCATTTCTCGAATCATAAAAAAAAAAAACTAAAAATAACGATGGACAATTTACAGCATTAACAACAACTAACAGCGAATAAATTCAGCAGAAAGAAAGAAAATAAAACAGGAGAGCAATAATGCAGTTAACCTAATACCGCCGCCGCTAAAGAGGGCATTGGGATCAATAGAAGGAATCATGACAGTTGTTGACGGCGACTGTTTCATCTGCGGCGGCGCAGTAGGTTCTTTTGGTGGTTTCCGTGACGGTGTCGCTGCCGGTGCCGGTGGATGGTTCTCCATGGACGGTGGAGAAAGTTCTGGAAGGTTACGATCGGATTCTTTCTTGTCAACGTTCATCATGGTCGCCGCATTCGGTTTTTTTTACTTCTTCTTAATTCTTATGTGCGAAAAAAGAATCAGTTTATTAGATTTAAAAAATAATAATTTGGAATCGAATTATGGACTGCTAAATTCGGTTTTTTTTTTGGAGTTACCTTTCTGCCCCTTAATCCTAACTGCTTTCGCTGTACTCCCTTCGTTTTTTACTTTCCTTTTTTGCTTATAACGAAAACAACTTGTGATAAACTTAGAAGAAGATTCTGCGCCATGGTTTGTTACGATGCATTAGATAAAATAATGCATGTATTAATTTTATGTATTCATAATAAATTATTTGGTATATTTTTTGAATTTATATATTAGTTATATATTATATTTGGTATTATCTTATGCATAACTAATGCATAAGAAACCATGATATTAACAATGCAATGAGTTTTAATGCATGCATTAGTTTAGTTAAAGATAAAATTATCTTTCAAAATTTATGTTTGATTAAAATATGCTATTATATTAATGCAAGTTTGAATTAATCCAAGAAAGTGAGAAATAAAATTATATCCCTAGTAAATAAATAAATACTTAGAATATTTTTTTTTTATAAAAAAATATTTAGTTCTATACTAAATATATGTAGACAAATTAAATAATTTTCTTAAAACCTTGTTCATATAAAAACATTCCTCAACATATATTTTTTTAAAAAAAATAAAGTGATGGACTAGTTATGTGGGTATTTCTGTAAGCAAATAATTCTTTTAAAAATTGTGCAATACTTTAATACATCAAACCAAACAATTGATAAGAAATATGTGAGCATAACTAATACTAGTATAACTAATATCAATATTATTATTAACCATATTCAGCATTATTTTTATACACCCTGCCAAACGACTCCAAGAGAGAAAAAATGCAGTTAAACCTAGAAAAAGTTAATGTCTTGGGCGTGGACCATGAAATTTGTTTAAACTGATCATATATTATTCGAGTGATCTAATAATAATCAATTATTAATCTTGAGGGATCTAAAAATGTGAAAAATTACTTATATTGATAATGCATATAATTTTAAACTCTTCAAGATATTATATTTTCATCTTCACTTCATTCAATCCTTTTAGTTGAAGCAACTTTGAATTTTAGCACACAGAAAAAAATATAAATTACGATACAATATTAAATTCAAGAATTGATAATTTTTATAAAATAGTGTGATCAAAAATTATATTCCATATTATTTTAAAGTGTTACATTTAAACAACAATTTTATCTCAAATAATATTTGCAAGTTTTATCATCATTTGGTCTATATAAACAAAGTTTTGGAAATTGATGTTGCAAAATAAAAATAAGGCACCCACAAAGAATTACCGTTTAATAGAAAAAAATTCAAAAAGTAACCCTATACAAGATTACTTTATTTTCATATATTGTGTGTAAAAATAAAATATAAAATATATTTAAAATAACATAAAACTAAAGCTACAAAACCGTATAAATTATCAAAAATGACCTCACAAAACCCCTGTCTCAATCAATTCAATCAAATTTTTGCAGTTATTTTCTCACTCTTTTTCCTGGTTCTCAAGACAAAAATTGAGTAAACAAAAAAAATTATCGAACTCAAAATACCGTTTCATATGTAACATTCGGCGTTCTTGTAGATCTATCTGACATCATTCTTCTCTACCCAAATCTTCAACTTTCACCACTATCTTTGATTTGTTCCCCAAAGTGTACTGTTAGTAAAGCCACTGTTTCGCAGATTTACTCTGAACAAACACTCGAAATTTTGTTTTAGTTAGTAGTCGCCGGAAAATGAGGAGGAGGAACTCGGATTTCCGGCGGCCGGTAAGGCGGCGATTCTCCAATGTGTTTTGGTTAACTGTGTGTGGATTGGCTATATTGCTGCTCATCATTTTGCTCAGCAGAGAAACTCGCGATTCATCGTCTAGATTGGTTTATACTAAGGTAATATTCATTGTTATAGCATTTATAAATTGCTGATTTTTTTCTTCTGTTTTTAAGCTAAGAAATCCTTTTTTTTTTCCCGGGGAATTACTTAGATGAGTTTGTGTCGGTTATGGAACTTTGAGCTTTCGGTTACTCAGTTTTCCATTTAGAGTTCACAATATTTTGTTTTACATCCTAATTTATATAGATTTTGATTTGTGATCCAAATAGCTCTTTGTTTCAATGTGATCTCTTAGGTGGGCATAGAACCAATTCACCAGATCTAGTTATTATATTGTACCATTATTAGGTGTAATTGTCATTGCAATACTTGGTAAATGATGATTATTTTGGTTGGCTATATAGCAACTAAGGCGGCATGCTGATCTACTGAAACAACAAGGAAAAGCTGGAAATATTGTGAAACTTCTTATGGAAAATGAATTTACCTCTATATCCAAAAATCACTTTATGCTGGTTGGTTTATTTTTGTTTCGTTTTAAAATGTAAATTATGAAGTTTTTATTTCTTCCAAAGGTATATTCCAAGTGCATTTGAAGTAATTTTTTCTTATCGAAGAGCACGCAATTATGTCAGGATATGTATCCCTCCACCCCCCNCTTTTTCCTATTACCTTTTGATATTATTGTCGTGCGACGAAGTGTCAAGAAGTACTGTTGCTCTATATTATGATTTCATTAATCAAAGAGATCATGACTACATTTAGCCTTTTAGGGTGAGTTTGTAAACCAATTTGGCGTTATTTCAGTTACCATGAGAGTTAGGTATTGATTTTGGCAAAAACTGTAAAGCTGAAAGATATCTTATGTGGTATGGTTAGTGTTTAAAAATATTTGGCTTCTTTGAGGCTTCGAACCGACATATTTGTCTTTCTGGAGTTTAGGCTATCATGAAGGACCTTTGGTACTGATGGATAAAAGCAAATTTGGTCAAAGGACAAAGAAAAGATAGAAGAAGAGGGATTATTCTTGTTTAAGACATTAGGGTACCATAAAGGTCTACCAAATTAATGCTCTCAGCCTCAACCAAATCTGCTTCAAAGATGAGTAAGATGACAAACAAAGGGAAGTAAGTTAAACATCCTACTTTAGGATATGGAAGATTATAGCACTATTTAGTCTCTTTCTACCAAATTGAACCTTTTGGGAACATTGAGATGTCCAAACGTGTTGGCTAGTTCCTAAATTGAAAATACCATATTGTACTCCCCCATTTCTTGAAGAATTAAATGAAACCGTTAGTTGTCCAATTAATATATAATTAATTGCAGCTTTCACAATTTCTTAATTTAGCATTAAACAATATGATACAATTTGATTTTTATTTAAGTGGTTCCTTTATCAAGCTTTGATGATCAGAGACATACGAAGTAGCTTGATTTGAGAAGCTTCTTAGTAAAAGCGTAAATATTCCTAATCGGGGAGAAGAAAGGTAGAAAAACAACAAGAGAATGTGTGTTGACAACATCTGGGAATGTTTTTGGAATTTTCTGATTCTATGGCGACTTCTTTTTGCAAAATTGTTTTCTACACGTGTGGACCTTTGTCCAGAAATTTATGATACTTCTTTGTCCTTTCTTTTCTCTGACCTCCCCGATCTTACTTTTATGAACTTAAAGCTTTTCATTCAACTATAGATATTTATCCATTTGGAGCAACGGTTAAGTTGTCTCTGACTCTGTGTGACCTATAGGTCACAGGTTCGAGCCGTGGAATCATGCTTGCATCAGAGTAGGCTACCTACATCATACCCCCTTGGGTGCGGCCCTTCCCCACACCCTGCGTGAACGCGGGATGTTTTTTGCACCGGACTGCCCCTTTTTAGTGCCTTTTTATTTCCAACATTCTTTGCTGCATTGATTCTAGGCCAAAATGGTATCTGCTTAACTGAAATCAGAGTGGAAAAGGAAAAAAAAGCTGTTGGTGATGCTAGAAACTTGAATAGCTTCCCCGTTAATGCTTAGTATTTTAAAATGTGAAAAATGCACAACGATGCCAAAATCTTGTGGAGCTTCAAGTACAAGAGAGTGACTAAAGAGCAGCTTTAGTGAAAAAACACAAACACGGGGAAAAAAAGAAGAAATATGTATGTTGCGCAAGAAAAACAATTGTCTACCAAAACACACAAAGGAATTGGAAAAACTACAATAAGTGACATATAACAACAACAACAACTACTACTACGTCTCAGTCTCAGACAAGTTGGAGTTGGCTACCAAAACACACAAAGGAATTGGAAAAACTACAATAAGTGACGTTTAACAACAACAACAACTACTACTACGTCTCAGTCTCAGACAAGTTGGAGTTGGCTATATGAATTTTCACTTCATCATTCAAGGTCAATTCATGTCATAATCATACTAAATAAGAAAAAAGTAAAGATCATGTCAATGAAGTTCGAAAACCATTTTAGATCTGTTTCCAGATGCAATACAATGCAATTTTAAGTTTCTATTGAACTTAGTGTTTAGTTTTCCTATAACTAAATTTCTAATTCATAGTCTTAATCACTAACTTATTCGTTTATGATGTTCATATAGCATTTGATATAACACTTTGGCAGGTGTACTCATTGTTTGATGCCACCTTATTTAAGACAGGCCCATGGGCTTTAGAGCTTAAATGCACCTCAAATGATTACAACTATACTATTAATGCTCACTCCTGAGATTCTGTCCCTCTACTCATTTGTGAATGAAAAAACTTGTGGAAATCTGAACAAAAAACCATAGGTTGAGTGCCATTTAGAGATTAGTGATAATTCCAATGCTGATGAGAGATTAATTCTTATGATGTTCTGCCCAATCTGAATAATACTGTGCTGTAACTTGTGTGTAGTGGTACATTGATTAAACAATAGAAATTTGGCGCTGGATTCCTTATTTACCTACCAAGACAGTTACATATCTTTGGAGGAAGAATTTAGTAACTCATTAGCTGAAGCCTGTTGCAATAGAGATTTATTAACTTATTTGATAGCTGCTACAGATCTATTTGTCTGGTTTCTGTGTTGTTACAGATCTTTTGTCTCTGAGCCGAGGGTCTCTCGGAAACAGCCTCTCTACCCCCGGGTAGGGGTAAGGTCTGCGTACACTCTACCCTCCCCAGACCCCACTAGTGGGATTACTACTGGGTTGATGTTGTTGTTGTTGTTGATCGCTGCAATTTGTTTTTCCCTCTGTCAGACAGTCTCTTGTGAGCTTATGGAGAAACCTGAATGTGTCCTCTTATTCCTTTCTTTGCAGAGGCCATATAGACATGATAGAACTGGGGATGGTCTCAACATCACTGAAGAAATGCTGAGGCCTGAATCAATGGCAAGACAACTTAATGATCAGATTTCTCTCGCTAAGGCAATTGTCGTAATTGCAAAAGAAAGCAACAACCTTCAATTTGCATGGGAACTAAGCGCTCAAATCCGCAACTCACAGATGCTTCTTTCTAATGCTGCATCAAGAAGAAGTCCCTTGACGAACAGAGAATCAGAAAATGCAATTCGAGATATGGCACTTCTGCTTTACCAAGCCCAGCAATTTCACTATGACAGTGCAACCATGTTTATGAGACTGAAAGCTAAAATCCAAAGCCTTGAAGAACAGATGAACTCCTTCAGTGAGAAGAGTTCAAAATATGGACAAATAGCTGCTGAAGAAGTCCCTAAAAGTCTGTACTGCCTTGGTGTCCGGTTAACAGCTGAATGGTTCAGAAGTTCTAATTTGCAGAGAAAATTCAAGGAAGAAAAGCAAGTAGCTGCCAAACTTGTGGACACCGGTCTGTATCATTTCTGTGTATTTTCTGACAACATCCTTGCAACTTCAGTTGTGGTGAATTCAACAGCTATGAATTCCAAGAATCCTGATATGGTCGTCTTCCACCTTGTAACTGACGAGGTGAACTACGCTGCAATGAAGGCATGGTTCACCATGAACAGTTTCCGAGGAGTGACTGTTGATGTGCAAAAGTTTGAAGACTTTAGTTGGTTAAATGCTTCATATGTACCTGTTCTCAAACAACTTCAAGACTCTGACACCCAGAACTACTACTTCTCTGGCAACCATGATAACAGCCGAACTCCGATCAAGTTCAGAAACCCTAAATATTTATCTATGCTTAACCATCTGAGATTCTATATTCCAGAAGTTTTTCCTGCACTGAAGATGGTTGTATTTCTTGATGATGATGTTGTAGTGCAGAAGGATCTTTCAGCTCTGTTCTCCATAGACATGAATGGCAATGTAAATGGTGCAGTGGAGACTTGCATGGAGACATTTCATAGATATCACAAGTACCTAAATTATTCTCACCCACTTATACGTCAACATTTTGATCCTGATGCATGTGGGTGGGCCTTCGGGATGAATGTTTTCGATTTGGTTGAGTGGCGAAAAAGGAATGTTACTGGCATATATCATTACTGGCAGGAAAAGAATGTCGACCGCACTTTGTGGAAGCTTGGCACTTTACCACCTGGACTGCTGACCTTCTATGGATTAACAGAGGCTTTGAATCCTTCATGGCATGTCTTAGGTTTGGGTTACACGAATGTCGATCCCAAATTGATAGAAAAGGGGGCTGTGCTGCATTACAATGGTAACTCAAAACCCTGGTTGAAGATTGGTATTGAAAAGTACAAACCTCTCTGGGAAAAATATGTTGATTATGGTCATCCTTTATTACAACTATGCAACTTTCACTAAGTTGGGATTATTGATTTATTGTAGTTCTAATAGAAGTGGTGCTCATTGTTCTGGAAATCCTTTAGGGGATTCTGTGAGATGGGAAGGTTTTAACTATTTTAATCTCTGTATTTAAACAGAATTCCAGTTTATTGTAGTATAGACTGGAAAACATCAAGGCATCAAAATTGTTATCTTCTCTTGTTATATGATTCTGTTAGTGAGAATGGATATAATTCTGTGCTGTTGTATGATCTGGCCTGTTGGGCTAGTGGTTAGCATTTTAGTTTTGATCAAGTGGCCGGTTGTGCTGCTCTTTGGAAAATGTTTTCATTGATCCAATCACCTTAGTTTTTCCACATAAAAAGAAGTAAGAGAACCCGATTACGGAAAACAAATCCGCAACCTTTTGCCATGCAAGAAAAGGGTTAAATCTAATTTTATAAACATATCAGGAACCTACTATATTTTAATCTGATACGAGTAATTTAAACAACACGATTATAAAAAATTTCACTGTAAGTACATTATTTTTTTCTCTAGAAACGTGCCTTACACGTGTCAATAGTTACAAAATTTATATCCAAAAAAGTAGTAATAAATTGCATATATATTCTATCTCTTGGGCTACGACAAAGGCAGTTTGAGACGTAAAATAAAGAATTATTGATTCCCAAAAAGCTCAAATTTTAGATGCAAATAAGTTATAGTTTCAATGAAGGATATCCGTAGAAAATTTCCTTTGCATTTTGTGGTTGAATTTTCATCACTTCGTTCAAGAAACACTTATGAGTTTGTCGCAGCTACATTGCTTTTTCCCTATGAATCTTGAAATCTGATTTTGTTGGTGAATTAACACAATTATTAAAGGCATTCATTATATCCCCAAGAAATTCGTAGGAAGCGGATCTAACTGTAAGGAAAGATATGCTACTTTTCTTTTTGTGTCTAACTCTACCTCACTTTTACAAATATATGACAAGCATACGCTATAGTACATCAGAAATGCTTCCGTTTTTCATTAAATTTATGATAAAAAAAAATTAACATAAAATTATACTACTTGGGAAGATGTAAACTAAATATTTTCCTTAATTATTCACATCCCTTTATTTCTTACAGCTTTTTATATATCTTATTTGGTGCATCATTTTGAATTAATATAAGAAAGAGATTCTTTTTTTATTTTTATGGATAAGAGAGAGAGAGAGTCAAAGCATTAGTATTACACATTTTTAATAAAACTGACAAAAAGCATTAAATAAAGGGACAAGCTTTTGCTTTTCTTCACTACTGTGTCCTCTGTTCTTTCTCATATCTAATTTTGCATTTTTCTGTATCTTTTCCTTCTTAGAGTCACCAATTCTTGTTCATCAGCTCATAAGGTTAGATTTCTAATTCTTTCTAAGTACTTCTAATATAGGGTATTGCCGCTAATTTGTTTCTGTTATCTTCTTTATGGTTATGTATTAATGGTAATGCTTTTGCTTTTGCTTTTTGATTCGATACGTACCCTCCCTCACTTAGGTCATTCATTCTTTTTGCATCTTTCAAGTCCCAATTGTTAGAATCATTTGCAAGTTGTGTTAAGAAACAAGTACTTGTTCGCTTTCTGTTTAATGTTCATGGTTCTTAAATTATGTTATTACCTGCAAAATTGATGTTTGTGCTAAGTTGAGATGTAGAAATTGAAATCTACTTTGGCCATATATTTTGGTCAGGGGTTCATGACACTGTATATAAGGACTAAGGTTAAGCTTTTGTTTGATTCCCGCAAGCTGCAAAACTTTTCCTTTCTATTCCTTTGAGCTTTAAGGGGTCGTTTGGTTCACTTCTAGGATATCCCATGGGATTTTTTATCCTATTGAATGTTAGCTAATACCAAACGTGGGATACCTATAACCCCAATTTTATACCGGGATTAATATTTTGACCAGTAAATTGAAGGTGTTTTAGTACTAAAAATTTATGTACCCAAGGCAGAAAATGGCCATAGGCTTTACTGCTTGAATTTTTTCTTTACTTTTCACTATTAAAATGATTATTATATAATAAAAATACTTATTATTTTTTAATTGAAGTACTTATTATGTGTGTCTTTATGTGTATCAGTAATACACAGAGGCGGACCTATGTTGGGAGGTGGGGTCACCGGAACCTGTTTAACGTCGGCAAAAATACAGTATATATATTTTATATCTATATGTATATACCGTGAGGACCCCTTAAATATTTTAAGTGTGCCCCTAAACACAAAAGCTGGACAGAAGCATTGATTTAAGAAAGTGCTCAAAGTGCCTTCACTTCCTTGATGTCCCAAGTTGAAATCCTGTCTCCTACAACTTTTATAATTCTATTTTACTTTTACTTTTTTTTTTTAAATTCAATTATTGTTTAATTACTTAGTAGTCAACCGGATATATTTTTATAACCTTTTCTGAATTCAATTATAATTTGATACTTCTACATAATAATAAACTTAAAACTTAATTAACCTTTTATTCAAATCCCCAACTCATTCAAAAGTCTGAATATTCATTAGCCCCCCCCTCCACAAATAGAGTAGCAAACTCTTCTGCCTCCCTTCAATTTAGTTAATTCTTTTTCAGTTCACTGCATCTCTTCTAAATCCGATAGCCCTATTAGGTGACGACAACGATGGCTGAATTTGAATCTTTTCTTCTTTGATTTTATTTGAGTCAGTTTTTTTCTTTTGAAAATATTACCTTAGCAAAATAATGTGCTACAAACTTTTTCTTTTCCGAAAAGATTCTTAGAGCTAGAAAGATATTATAAACATTTGCTTTTTCGATTTATGTAAATTATACCCAGATTAGCAGTTGACTCTTGCATCACTTTGAGGAGAAAACGTTAAATTATATTTCAGGTATGTAATATAATACTCTATTAGTTAAGGAGAAAAGGTTTTTATTGATTCAATATTAATTTAGTCATATTGCTTACATATGAATGGTCAATTGGAGCTGCAGATTATTGAAAATAGTCTACCTAAAAAGCGAAAATAGAAGAAAGATCCTTCTTTGATTGAGAAGGAAGGATCCTTCTGTGATTGAGAAGAAAGATCCTTCGGTGATTGAAGAAAATGTTATTTTGTTTGGAATCGTTATTTTTAGGAAGTTCTTGTTCTTGTGAATTTAGATGACGTATTCTTGGCGAAGTTTAATTCTTTTCAATCTAGTTCTAGTTTTAAGAGACAATGCCTCTCATTTTATAGATGAGTTTGATGTGGAATCACATAATCCCGACCCTGATATGAGTGGACGATGTACTTATGTTATATTAGTACCAAATTAATGATATTTGATAATATCGAAGTTTGTATTTTGATGATAGTTATCATAATCATTAAGTTTTTATAGACTTGAACACCGAACTTTATCGCTTGCTAGTACTTGGTATACTAAAGATGGTGCCCCCGCTATGTTCAAGTCCCGGGCCCGCCTCTGGTAATACAAACATTCTCCAGAGCAACTATATTATTTTTATACTTTTAATTAGGGTTTGTTTTACTTATAAGTTATTTTTGCAATCATCTTTAGTTCATTTTTGTTTATTATATTATGATTATTTTTTCCTTTTCTTCTTTTAAATGCCTTTTGCACTAGCGTTTAATTTTTTTTTTTGAAAAAAAAAGATTACTTCAAAATAACGTACCACTGTTTTAGTTTTGATCTAACATATTGTTAGTTTGATTTATAACGATAGGTTAGTTTACATTTAATTTCAAAATAATTTGATGAACCTGTTTGGCGTTACATTTGAATCTTTTTTTTGATGAACCCGTTTAAAGAAAAATTTTACTATTCACTTTTAAAAATGTTGAATTTCCTTGCTCAAAATCCTGAATCCGCCACTGGTAGTTGCTGTATATTGTGTTCTAGATATAAAGCCCAAGCTGACTTGCATGTAAAATAGTCAAGAATTACATTAGAGATGAGAAACCCTTGGTTTATTTCTAATTTTTCATGTGGGGGTGTTGCAGCTGCAACGTGCACTTTTATTTCTTCTTTTCCCCGTTATGAGGTTTCATTTTTCTTGATCTAGTCTTTCCCCTTCTCCAAGCAGGGAAAATACTACCAAATCGTAGCCATTTTTGAATTCTTTTGTGTCCATTTTTCTATTTGTTTTTGTCTTTTCAGTTTTCCTAAGTTTGATAATTTGATCACATGATAATACTGCTGCTTGATTTTTTTGTAATTGCACTTTGTGTTGTATTATTGCCTGTTTTCGTGATTCTCTTTCAATACATGTTTTGTCATTGTGTTTCTTATATACCAGAGATTTGCTTATATTTCTAGGAGATAAATTGGGGAGCAAACGACCACCAGTATGGATGGTTGTCGTCCTTTACCAGAAGATCTATTAGTGGAAATTCTATTGAGGTTGCCTGTGGAATCACTCTTGCGTTTCAAATGTGTGTGCAAGCATTGGTATGCTCTCATCAGAAATCCAAGTTTCATAGAAAAGCATTTTCATTACAAGAACAATCGTGCCCGTCTCCTCATTTGTAACTTAATAATATCAAATTTATCGAAGTCCGTTACTTTTTCCTTGCTCCCTGGCCAAATAGTTCCAGGTGTGACCCCTGAACAAAAAACTCTCTATCAGTTTCAGAGGACTGATTTCATGTCCATTACTGGCCCGGTTGATGGCTTATTCTTAGTGCAGAAACCGTTTTATGACGAAAATGTTTGCTTGGCTTTGTGGAATCCTTCCACCAGAGAGTTCTGGCCTCTGCCTCCTGTGTCTTTTGAGCTTCAGTCAGAGGATTATGATGAACAATTTGCACTGGGGTATGACCCGTCGTCTCGAGATTATAAGGTTGTATGTATTCGAAGATTTTGGGATAACATTGGACAAGGCGCTTTCACTCGAGTCTTTGTCAGTGTCTATTCATTACGCAACAACTCATGGAAGAACCTGAGATCTGAAATCCCTTCCTGTTGTCACTTAAATGAGCCCATTGGTGCCACTTATCTCAACGGGGTATATTATTGGCTCTCAGGGGGCCTAGACAAAATCTGCAGGATACGCTCATTTGACATGGGCAGTGAACAGTTTGGGGAGATGCACGTACTAGATATTCCAAAAGCACGGTGGGGAGCACTTATGTTGCGTGGTGCCTCACTTGCTATCTTAGTTTGTGACCACCCTGGTAAGGCTATGACATCCATATATGAAGTGTGGGTAATGAAACAAGAGGGTAGTTGGACCAAAGTTCTTACTGTTCAACCTCTTATAGATGCTCATTGGCCTCACGGCATCTGGGAGGATGATAAGATGATTTTCAAAATCACTGAAACTTCACAGCTGGTGCTATATGATCCTACAACAAGAGAAGTTACAGAGCTTGGATTTCAGCTGGACCGAACTTGGGGTCACTGTTGGGTTTTCAATTACAAGGAGAGCCTAGTTCCAATAAAGAGAGGAAACGACAACCACTGCCAGGACAATGCAGTCGAGCAAATTGACCACTTCTTCAATATAGATTACGAAGAAGATCCGGCCTTGTTGGTTGTTACATAAAATCTAACACTGCATTTTATCTTAATTTGGAACAGAATGTCCATAGGAAATAGAACTAATCTAGTTTCCCCAAGCTGTATTTTCCATATTAGTAATATGTCTGTAAAGCCCCTCAAGTATGGTGCTAATTGAAGAGTAGCAATATTTTGCAGACGAAGAGTTGACAGAAAAACTATAGGAGTTCAGAAATTCCTATGGGTTGGTCTTGGTTCTGTAATGGCTTTAAGGTTAAATTGACAAGGGTGTATGTGATGATACATGCATGTAGGATGCTGCATTTATAGTATGGGGTTAGTCCAGTTGATGTTAGTTTTGATTGGTCCTTGGCTAATGTCGCTCCTATGTTACTTAAACTGATCTTTTGGAATTCAACACATCACTTCTTCAATTATGTTTAGAACGTGCCAGGTTGGGGTATTACACCCACACTTGTGTGGCCTATTTTAGAATTCTTGTTCTTTTGTATAGTCGGGCTGCTGTCCGAGTACATCGATGGATTCTTTTGGCACTCGTAAAGGCTCTTGATTATTCCTAATGGGTTATGCACAATGTTCTGGCTAGATAATGGTTTCATGTCCCTCTCCGCAGACCTATATGATTATGTTTGATGCTTGGGGACCTTTATATAATTTCATGCTCGCGTTATCGATTGTGTATTATGTTGCATGAGGGTATGCGTTAGCCCCTCGGCTTCATTGATCGAACATGGCATGGGCGTGACGAGGGATTTATATGATGGACCTCGGCATGACCCTATGATGGTTGTGGCATCATGTTTGATGTTTTAACTTCAATACCACACAAGAGGGGGATGATTTATGTGGTGTCCAATTTTTCGCGTACACAGATTATAGAAGGACCTAATTCTTATGTGTGTTCCTTATACTACTATTGCGGAATAATAAATGCAGAAATTAAAGAACACAAGGATTTTTACGTGAAAAATACCTGGCTCAAAAGGTGAAAAAATCACGACCTACTTTCCAGTATGATTTTTCCAAACTCTCCACTAAATCACTGAGCCAAAAACTGCATTTACAAAATATTTTTGTAAACCTAGGATTAACTCTAATCCCGTTGTGGCAACCAACCTCTAACTGCTGCGACAACTTCAAGTTAACTCTAACTTGAATACTCTGAGTACCTATTACAATTGCCTATAGATAAAGCTGAAAGGTACAATATAAAAACACCTACTACAATTGAACTAGAATAAAAGACAGACACTTGAAACTGGTTCTTCTATCTGGTTCATGTAGCTTCAAGTTCGCACACTTGAATCACACACGAACTGCTTGCAAAATGCCTTGCTATTTTGCTCTCAATTCACGTTTAACTTCTGCTTTTGTGCGAATCATGTAGAATGAGAACATCCTGCGATTTATAGAGTTAGTAGAGTAGAGAATAACTAGAGTTCTAATACTACTCTTCCTTAGCGGAAGAGTTCTAGTTAATCTCAACTCCTAACTCCTTCCTTATCTTGGATAATGTTCTCGTTGAGTAAGGAGTTCTTCTCCTTATTAATTATGCAATCTTTTCGATCAGGAGATATTTATTATTATGCCAGATTTCATTTATCTCCTGCATGTGTATCTCACGTGCTTTGAATCTGCCCGTGTCTATGCCTACCAGTGATGGACCTGGTTCATCCCTGAGTTCCTTTGTCAATCTTCAAAACTATTCTTTACTTGGGCCAACAAATTCTCCCTTTTTGATGATGACAAACTCTGTGCTTCCATAAGCTTAGGTCCTGTTTCAATTTAGCTCAACATCAACACAATGCTAGAAATATTTTTCCTTTTTATCACTTATCATCAAGGACCAGGTTCATTAGGTTATAAACATCACTGTTCAAAGCACAACATTTCCCCCTCTTTTGGCATCATCGAAAAGTTGCATAAAAAATGTGAGATAACCAGATTCTAAAACTTACTCATGGCCACTGGGGCTACTTCAAATGCAATCATGGATTAATCATCATAGATCAAGCTAAGAATTTTAACCATCAAAGAAATATAAACAAACAATTAGAGGAAAAACAATGAATTTCATTGATGATTGATAAGATTCTTCCATAAAGTATAAGAAGAAATAAAAATACTGAAAACATGAGCAAACAAAAAAAATCCCATACTGGGTCACTGAAAGGTCTACACTGGGCTAGGAGTTTAAGGTTTGGAAGAACTAGGTGCTTGGTTTTTGGCTTGGAGGAGTTTCAGCATATCCTGAAGAATGCCATCATTCTTCTCCTTCTCTCTTGCCAGCTCAGTTCTGAGAGCATCTCTCTCAGTCTCCACCTCAGCCAACCTCTTCTTCAACCTCTCAATCTCAGCATCCTTAGCCCCACTTTCTTGTACTAAGGCTCGCACCTTGCTATTCACTGGTACCTTCTTAGATGAACCAGGTTCTTTAGGAGTGAATGGACTTCATAGTCACAAAGCAGGCAGCGTATTTGCCCCTAAATGATCCTTGCTTGTACCAACCTCCCTTTCTTCTTTGGATTATAACTTTCAGTCACTCTTTTTAGTAGGTCTGCGAGGGTTTCCTGTTCAGATGAAACAGGTTCATCTATATTTTTCGCAAGTTGAACCAGCCCTTCAGTGGCTTCGCCAGACCCACTTCCCCCTGTTTTCTTTACACTTTCCTCTGCTCCAGCAGATTTTTCTCCCCAAACAACCATTGCACCTGTGTCTTTGGTTAAACTCACAGGAGTAGGTGAAGAATCAACCACTCTTTTACCCTTTTTCCTCACAGCACTTCGAACACCCTTGCTCTCTTTTCTTTTTCTTTTTCTATTTTTATTTTTACCACTAATTCCTCCAGACTCTGTAGTTTCAACACCTGCTTTAGACTCTACTAGTACAAACTTATTCTCCAAATTTGTTCTCTCCCCGCAACAACCTTGCGAGCAAGCATCTTTACTTTTTTCTTAGAGGTTGGGGTGGTGGAAGGGATGATAGTGGGTGTGGAAGTCTAATCAAAACTGAATTTTAGTTTTGAAAAGACTTTGGAGTGTATCCCTAGAATCTAGGTACTTCAATTCGGTTGGGACTCTTTTGAACAGAACTGGTTCACTTGTAACGGATAAGTCCAAAAGGAGTTTGGAATTAAGTAGGACTTTGCTCATGATCCAAATATTATTATTTTAAATTATGCAGAGTGTAGATAACATATCGTGTTATCTTGATAAACCAGGTTCTTCACGGAGAATACTCTTATGTAAGTCTAAATTTGCCAAAATAGAGAAAATATCATTAAAGATTAATGAGTCATTTTAACAACAACATAACAAACGACATCATTAAAGATTATTGACTTCAAAACATAATACACGACTATCATACGAATAACATAACTCGTAACATAACCTCCTTATCATGTAAAACACCCTGGTCTCATCCTAAAAGTACATGCTATACAATTCCCAATTTGTCGGCTTTCGACGAAACATTAGTTTCTTCAATTCCTTTAGCCTCTAAACCTTCCAACCCTCCTTGTAGTTGTTGTTCATGATCTTCAATATTTGTAACTTCCAAGGTAACATGATTAACTTGTTTTATATATTTTCAAAGATGATCTTATTTCTTTGGGTCCTACATTAGTTTGCTCATGACGCAGTTTTATTTACGAAAATATAGGGTTTAACATCATCCCCCCCGGGAACATTCGTCCTCGAATGTTTACTTCTAGAGACTTCAAAATTTTTTTGCCAGAGTTTCCTCTGTACACTAGACTATAACCAACTTGTATGCAGCCAGAAAATATACTGTGCATGCCACACATGGCCAATGTCTATAAATAAAAACACTTTGCCTCAAAGAGTCGTAAATCATAAATACTGAAAGTCAGAAAATAAGAGCTTACCTGATGACCTACTAGCCTGAATAGAGTTGTGCTGTAGCATCCCATCTCGAGTCATATCTTCAGTTTGAAATAGGTGGGGGTATTTATACTTCATTTCTTCCTCCGCTTCCCATGTCATCTCTTCCACATTATTGCTTCTCCATAAAACCTTCACTGAGGCTACCTCCTTATTTCGTAGCTTGCGAATTTGTCGGTCTAAGATGGCAACTGGAATTTCCTTGTATGAAAAGTCCTCCGTAATTTGTACATCATCTGTGGACACCACTCTGGTAGGATCGCCAATGCACTTCCGTAGCATAGATACGCGAAAAACTGGATGGACTGACTCCAATTCTGAGGGAAATTCTAACTCATAAGCTACCTGGCCCACTCTTCGAATAATCCTATAAGGCCCAATATACTGTGGGCTAAGCTTGCCATTCTTTCCAAACCTCATCACGCCCTTCATAGGAGATACCTTTAAGAATACCCAGTCATTAACCTCGAACTCTAAGTTTCGTCGCCGCACGTCAGAATATGACTTCTGGTGACTCTGAGCTGTCAACAGTCGCTCCCGAATAAGCTTTACTTTCTCTACGGTCTGCTGAACTAGGTCTGGCCTATGTAACCCAGATTCTCCAACATCAAACCACCCTATAGGAGATCTGCACTTACGCCCATACAAAGCCTCGTACAGAGCCATCTGGATACTGGAGTGGTAACTATTATTATATGCAAACTCAACAAGAGGTAAATGTTCATCCCAACTTCTTTTAAAATCCAACACACATGCTCGTAACATATCCTCGAGCATCTGAATTGTGCGCTCGGCTTGCCCATCAGTCTGTGGATGAAAAGCTGTGCTGAGATTCACCTGAGTCCCTAGACCTCTCTGAAATGACCTCCAAAAATGTGCTGTAAACTGAGCCCCACGGTCAGATATAATAGAAACTGGTACTCCGTGTAGCCGCACTATCTCCTTAATATATAACTTTGCATAATCTTCTGCTGTATATGTAGATCTGACCGGTAGGAAGTGAGCTGATTTCGTGAGCCTATCGACTATCACCCATATGGAATCGAACTTACGATTAGAACGAGGTAAACCCATAACAAAGTCCATGTTTATCGCCTCCCATTTCCATGTCAGGATCTCTATAGTTTGCATTAGCCCTCCNTCAGCAATGTTCTTCTTCATATCATTCCACCAGTACACATCCTTAATGTCATGATACATCTTCGTCGACCCAGGATGAATGGAGTACTACAAATAATGTGCCTCTGACATAATCCTGTCTCGTAGCCCTGATACATCTGGAACACATAAACGACCCCTATATCTGCTGCGGAACTCGCTCTCTCAACTCGACCAACTCTTTGTCATCGTACTGCCTTTCCTTGACTTCATCCATGAGAGATGATTTTGCAGTGTTTTGGAGTACAACTCCACCACCGTCGGAATTTACTAACCGA